CCTGAGCACACCCGAACCAAGACGCACGAGGACGTGCTCCACCACCATCGCAGCAGTCTTGGACTGATGATGCACAGCCTTCACGAACTCTGCCGCAGGATCCCTGACATCCACTTCGAGCACCCGACGCATGGCCCAGTCGTGGTAGCGCGCCGCCCGACGATGCTGTCGAAACTATCTTGAACACCTCCTCGTACAGCTTGGGCAACTTGCGATCCATAGTCCATTCTCAGCCGACATGGTCAGCCCAGCCGGTGAACAATCAGCGGGATGCGAAGAAGGGCGTCATATTGCAACGGCTTCTGCGCAGGAGTTCAGAAGACATGTGGACGCCGATCGCCCGCCACCGCCTTGATGTGCCTCCAGACAGTCGCGTGCGTACAATTTGTAGCATTGGGTCGATCAGCCCAAGCAGTACCTTCAGCAGCCAGCGCCAGAAGGTCCGTGCGCGCAAACTGATGGCGCTTGATGAGCTTGAACGCCATGAGCACCGCGTGCCTCTCAGCTCTGCCAGCTGACTGGAGCTGCCCATGTAGAGGACCGAATGCACCTCGGATAGGCGCGCCAGCTTGTTCATCGTCGCGAACGCCCAGCCACGCCTCATGGGCTCAGAGGCCGCCGGCGAGAAACCGGAACCGTCGGGGAAGATAATGTTGCTCCAGCAGCTCTGCTCAGAGCTCCAATAGTCCCAGACCTTGTAGGAGTAGCTGGCCTTCGCCGTCGGGGCCTCGGTGGGCAAGCACGGTGGTGCCAAGCCAGTCTCGAGTTCATCCCAACGAGGCCCACCAATGACCATGGGCCCTTGGTCGTACAAGTAGCTGCGAATCTCCTGGAGGTATGCAGGAGCGACGCCGCCAGTGAGTTATCTCCGCCTCGTCCGTTGGCTGCGACAGGGGCTCGCAACCAAGGGGGCGATGCCCAGAATCCGTACTTGAGACAGCGCGCTGAAGCAGCCATGCCGACCGAGTACTTCATCTCCCAAGTCCAGTGAACTCTGGCCCAGTGCGCCCTCAGAGACGCAGCGCCTGGCCCTTTCGTCGGGGGCTCCGCATCGCCAACGCAAGCTCGAAGCGAACGCATCCACGCCTGTGCCAGGCCACCCGCGTGATGGTCATGCCTCGTCGTGATTCTTTCGTCTTGCCGCCGGCAATGCCGAGCCGCAAGTGATTCCTGATGTCCTTCGGCGATGCCCTGATCAGAGATGAGCTGCCCCTGGTCAATGATGGTGGCCGTCGAGGAATGCGTCGCCCATCGAGTGCGCCGCGGCTCGAGTGCAACGGCGCCGATCGGACCCTTCGCAGGCTTCCAAGACTGATCTGGCACAATCCGCGTTGTGATGGAGGCCCGCGCGTCAAGTGGGCGAGCCGAGTGAGTTCTGCCATCCCGGAGCCAGCCGGCGCGCCGCGCTGCGACGACGCAGGGGGCCACGTAGATCGGGTCGTACTCAGCGCAAGCCTGCGTCGCCAAGTACAGCGTGCGCGAGGACGAGCCATTGTGCGTTCCAACGAGCATGCCCGCCGCAGTCCTCAGCTTCGCTCGAGTCCCCTCGTTCGAGCCCGGAGCGCCGGCGCCGTGGGCAGCCGCTGGGGGTGGCCTTGTTTTCCAGAGGGCGCCAATTCCCTGTCAAGCGCGCGCCTGAAGGCCATGGTCCTGCTTCTCCTGGCGTTTCGGGCTTTCGTGCGGGGCGTGGTTTAATTGCAAATAACTTGTCTGCCGTGATGATCGTGGCATAAAATTCCTGATCCAGCTGTGCTCCTTGACCGCCAGCCCCGGGGTGGTGCTTTGACGCCTGCGCCGCAGCTCGCGACGATGCCGCGTACTCTGACTTCTCAGGCTGGATCAACGGTCTCTCTGGGGGAGACCCCAATTTGAACTTGGCCGTCGGCTGCCGTGGCACGCGCGTGTCTCGCAGCGCTGCCCCGTTCTGCTGCAAGGACGTGTCATCGACGAGGGCTCGCCGGGCTGCGCCGGGCCGTCGTATTCTGCCCCGCAACCTCGCCAGTTGCGCTGACATAATGACGCGCGCGTGAGAGCAACCTGCCAGAATCTTTTGAATTACGCAGTCCGGGTAGCTGATGGAACCGAGTGTTTGCAGTTGGCGCTGCAGCGAGTCGCGCTGGCGCAGCGCCCAATCGGATGACGCGCCCAACGGTTCGCGCCCCTTTGAACAGCGTGTCTCGAAGGATAAGTTCAAAGCGTTTCTAGGCGTCCAGAAGCGCCGCGGTAGAGTGCTCGCCCGCCGCGGAAAATACCTGCGCCTCCAAGCTGAGGGCGACTGCTACGTCCGACGAAGGTCTCGCACCTCCCAGCCCTCAGATGTCAGCGGGCGGGTCATCGATGCGCCGCCCTTTGGTGATGGGCGCGCGCGCGAGACAGCTGTCGCAAGTTTCAGTCCCTGAGCTTGATTGGTCAGTTTCCACCCGGCGCCTGGGGCAGCCTTGCCATTTCATTCTACAGCTTCTGCTGAGGCTGCTCACCCGAGGATTCGCGCTACTACAAA